ACGGCTGGAGATGCCCTAAGATGCGTTGCTTTTGCCGCTGTGCTGCTAGCACCGATTGCTGCTGGTGGCCATGGCCATGGTGTGTGTGAGTGTGTTGTGTGTGTATGCAGCGTGGTGTGTGTAAGTGTGTTGTGTGAGTGCACGTGTGTGTGAGTATGTGTGCGTCCGACCCAAAACTAGTTAGGTCTAATTTAATTAGCTAGATTAGTCCTAGGATTAATTATGTTGTTTAGTTAATAATCAGTTTGTCTCAAAAAATAAAAGTTAGTATCAGTTTAGTGCTAGATTAGCCTAATAGCCTATGACATGTGGCCCTATTCTAATCTAGACACTAATTTAATTTAGATGCCTATGACATGTGGGCCATACCTCACCTTTTGACCAGTCAAAGTAAAATGATTGACCAGCCCCTCAGGTCCCACTGTCATACACATATGCTAGGGTAACACTAGGAAACAAATGCACATTCTGCCTTCAATTCGATTTAAACAGTTCTAAAAAATCTTTAAAAACTTTGAAAAATCATAGAAAAATAACCGTAACTCGGATGAAAATAATTTATATATGAAAGTTTCTCAGAACGACGAGACGAATCCGGACGCAGCCCGTTAATCCGCCACACGTCCCTAGAATAGCAAACCTGCAACCGTCCCCCTCCGGTCCGTCTGTCCGAAAACGCGAAACACCGGGAATACTTTCCCGAATGTTTCCCCCCTTCGCTGGTAGCACCTAGTACTGCGTTAGGTCATCCCTAGCACAACATATTGCCGCGTCTTGCTTTGTGTTACATTTGATTGCTCTGTTATTTATTGTGTTCCCCCTCCGATACTTCTTTCCGGTAGACTTCGAGACCGCTGTCGATGTCCGTGTGTTCGACTACATCGAAGATGACCCCTCCTTCTTGCCAAAGCAACCAGGCAACCCCCCCTTGATCACCAGATATCACCTATTCTTCTCTCTACTGCTTGCATTAGAGTAGTGTAGCATGTTACTGCTTTCGGTTAATCCTATTCTGTTGCATAGCCTGTCATTGTTGCTACAGTTGTTGATACCTTACCTGCAATCCTAAATGCCTAGTATAGGATGCTAGTTTATCATCAGTGGCCCTACATTCTTGTCCGTCTGCCATGCTATACTATCGGGCCGTGATCACTCGGGAGGTGATCACGGGTATATACTACATACTTTATACATGATACAGGTGGTGACTAAAGTCGGTTCGTCTCGTGGAGCACCCACGAGTGATTCACGGATTGGGGGCTGAAAGGACCTTTGTCCCAACGGTCCTCTGTGTGGATCTTTGTGGCGAAGCGACAGGGCAGGTTGAGACCACCTAGGAGAGAGGTGGGCCTGGCCCTGGTCGGCGTTTGCGGTTATTTCAAGATAACACGTTTAACGAGATCTTGGTATTTGATCTGAGTCTGGCCACTGGCCTATACGCACTAACCGTCTACGCGGAGACAGTTATGGGCACTTGACGTCGTGGTATCAGCCGAAGCCTTCGTGACGTCAGCGACTGAGCGGCGCGCGCTGGGTTGGACCGCGTAACGCAACTTCCTTTGTAATGGAGGTTGCTAGGTCTGCTCTCCGGCCGCCCTCGCAACGTGCAGGTGTGCAATGGGCGATGGGCCCAGACCCCTGCGCCATAGGATTTAGACCGGCGTGCTAACCTCTCTCTTGTGCCTAGGTAGGGCTGCGACGTGTTGATCTTCCGAGGCCGGGCATGACCCAGGAAAGTGTGTCCGGCCAAATGGGATGGAGCATGTTGGGTTATGTGGTGCACCCCTGCAGGGAAGTTAATCTATTCGAATAGCTGTGATCTTCGGTAACAGGACGACTTGGAGTTGTACCTTGACCTTATGACAACTAGAACCGGATACTTAATAAAACACACCCTTCCAAGTGCCAGATACAACTGATGATCGCTTTCTCACAGGGCGACGAGGGGAGGATCATCGGTTAGGATTATGCTACACGATGCTACTTGGTGAACTTACCATCTACTCTCTTCTCCTGTTGCAAGATGGAGGTTACCAGAAGCGTAGTCTTCAATAGGACTAGCTATCCCCCTCTTATTCCGGCATTCTGCAGTTCAGTCCACATATGATACCCTTATTCCATTTGATACCAATGCATACATATGTAGTGTAGCTCCTTGCTTGCGAGTATTTTGGATGAGTACTCACGGTTGCCTTGCTCCCTCTTTTCCCCCTTTCTATACCTGATTGCAGCGACCAGACGTTGGAGCCCAGGAGCTAGACGCCATCATCGACGACGACTACTGCTACTCGGGAGGTGCATACTACTACGTGCAGCCCACTGGCGACGACCAGGAGTAGTTTAGGAGGATCCCAGGCAGGAGGCCTACGCCTCTTTCGATCTGTATCCCAGTTTGTGCTAACCTTCTTAAGGCAAACTTGTTTAACTTATGTCTGTACTTAGATATTGTTGCTTTCGCTGACTCGTCTATGATCGAGCTCTTGTATTCGAGCCCTCGAGGCCCATGGTTTGTAATATGATGCCTGTATGACTTATTTTATTTGTAGAGTTGTGTTGTGATATCTTCCCGTGAGTCCCTGATCTTGATCCTACACGTTTGCGTGTATGATTAGTGTACGATTGAATCGGGGGCGTCACAATCTCATGTGAGGTATTATAGTTTGTAATGAGTTGTTATTTATGGCAGAGTGAATGCCAAGTTAGCAATTAATTGATTTGTAGGAATGGGAATGAACTTCGTGAATATTAATTTTTTTTCTTTTTCTCACACTTGATGGTTAGAACAATAAGTTCACTCTCACATTGCTTTGTCATGGAGTTATCATCATGTAATAGTAATGATTCCTATGTACATGAGAGCTGACAATAGGTATATGTCACTCTACCTTCTACTATTACAGGTGATCCAGTCACTTCCATGTTATGAATTTATTTGCAAGTTTTGTGGCAGTGGAGGCAAGAGTGAAGTCACCCCAAAGCACTGCACCGGGGCTCTGTATTTCACAAGATCACGCACGCATTGGCGGGGGATGAGCCAGGTATTCGATTCATTTTGTCAGTTAATGCAGAACAAACCCAAATAGTTGGACTGGACCTGCTGAAATACTAAATCGAGATTTTCAGCTCGCATACAAACATCCAAATGCATGGTTCGATTACCATGGCAGAATGACACAACATGGTTCACTGCCAGAAACATGCCCAAGTTCATGTTAGAGACGATGAAGGTGGACGGTGGCGATAGTGAAGTCTATGGGGTTTAAGTTGAGTCAACAAGTTGATAACCTCGCACCTTAATTTAATTTTGCATTAATAATTATTATTGTGAGCTCTCAATAAAGAAATGCATCGCCTGGTATATTAAGACATGATTGGTGTTGAATCACATGAACATGTATGTGCAGTTGTAGCACACATGGAATTACAAGCTGGTGCACGTAGGGGCTCGAGAAATCGGCATGGTGATTGTGATGACCAAGATCACTGCCTTGAGACTGATCATATTTGATGAAATAGGCGGGCAAGTGGTCAACATGGATGATAATGACGAAGAGGAGAAGTGACAACACAGATGACTCGATGTGGGTGTGTGAGTATTGTTTTCTCCGGTTGCAACGCACGGGCATTTGTGCTAGTATATAATAATCGACCATAATAATTTATGTCTCGTATTTTTTTGCAGGAATTTATGTCTCATATTACGAGGCTATTTAGTTCTAGGCCTAGGAGTGCCACACTTTGCCATACAAATGTTGCCAAACTTGTCTAAGGTTAGTTCTTCAAAATGAGAGCCACAAGTTGGCAATCCTAAGAAAATCTTGCCACAATTTTTGTGTGTATGTAATGTGGGGCCATAGTGTGGCTTGCCTAAGATGTGGCTTGAACCAAACACATACCTAAGTTGGTCAAACTTGCCTAACCTTAGGTGTGGAAAGATTTGGCAAACTTAGGGGCTGTTTGGTTCCTAGCCACACATGGCCACACTTTGCCACACCTAACCTTAGGCAAGTTTGACCAAGTTAGATAGGTGTTTGGTTCTAGCCACACTTGAGGCAAAGAATTTTTTATGAGCAATGAACCCCACATGTCATAGACACAAAAACTGTGGCAAGATTCCCTTAGACAAGTCAAAGTGTGGCTAACTATTTGAGCAACTCAAGTAAGACAAGTGTGGCAAGTGTGGTAAAAATCATGTGACAAAATATAACAAAGATAGTCACAATCCAAACAGCCCCTTAGTCTCAAACCAAACAGCCCCTAGTTCTTCAAAATGAGAGTTACAAGTTGGCAAGCCTAAGGGAATCTTGCCACACTTTTTGTGTGTATGTAATGTGGGACCATAGTGTGGCTTGCCTAAGATGTGGCTGGAACCAAACACACAACTAAGTTGGTCAAACTTGCCTAACCTTAGGTGTGGCAAGCTTTGGCAACTTTAGTCTCAAACCAAACAGCCCCTACATGTTTGTTTCTTCTGCTACTTGTTTCTTTAGGGGTCTTTTGCTACTTGTTATCTGTCCTGGTAATGCCGGTTAGTTGTATTAGCCTTGTTTTTATCAAGTATTGTATGAGATTCCCATGTATTACTAACTGATATATGGTTTTCTTCATGTAAATTTTAATATGTTTGTTAGGGCATATATTTATGAAAAGTCCTACTATCATTCATATTGTACAAAACGAACGGACGCAACATCGTGCGCCATTAATGATCTATATTGCCAGGCCCACGCTGTTTACACAAAAAAAAATCTGAACGGGGCGATGCGATGAAAATTCGTACTTTTATCCTACTCCACAACTTTTTGATTTGGCAAATCCACCCGTGTCGTCTCAAAGAGTTTAGGCTTGTGTTAAAAAGGTACCGGAAAGAAAAAGAAAAAAACGCATTGTAGTTATCTCCGCCCCGGACCGTACCTGACCCCGACTCGTTCCCCCTCGCCGCACGCACAGGACCATAAGCCAAGCCAGCAAGGTCGCCTCGCGCACTGCCGGCGGCCACCATGTCAGCGCGGGACCGGGAGACGATCAAGGCGCTCGCGCGCGTCGTGGCCGCGCTTGACGGGGCGGTGCTCGGCCTCGGCACGGCGGCGCTCGCGGCCGTGTCCCTGGCCAAGTACCTTGTCGCATCCGGGGCGCTCTGCCTCATCGCCGAGGCGCCGGCCCTCGCGATCCCCGACCTCCGCTACTCCCTCCTCGCGGGGCTCGGCAACGGCGAGTCGCGCCTCGCCGTCGTGCGGGGCCTCGTATGCTCCCCACCCGGGGGCACGTTCCTCATCCCCCTGGCCCCCGCGAGCACTGCATCGTCACCAGGCACACCCAGACGGTGAGTTCCCGGATTCCCCTCTCATGTCGGCTCCCTAAGAGCAGCAAGGGTTACGTGTTAGGGCGGGCTTTTTATGCGGCTGCTTGGGCAAGGATGCCAATTTTAATCTTTTGTAAACCCTCGAGACAATGTTTTGAGGCACCGATTGAGCAGAAGATATAGGCAGCTTAGGTTTATGTGGTACTTAAATTCTCATCGCTGACCAAGATATATGTTGACTGTTTTTTAGGTTTCGATTAAGCACAAGATGTAGGCAGGTTTGGACATTGGGATGCCTGTCAATTTTTTGTTTCGTTTTAACCCTAGTTTTAAGTGCTACCATGCTTCTTTTTTTTCCCGGAGAATTTTGATACTTTCAATTATCTATGGATACTTTTCCTTGTAATTTATTTCTAGGAGTAGCATGGCAAATTTATCAACTTCTGTGGTTCCCTTATCAAGAGGATAGTTTGGAGAAGTAGAGAATTAGCACTTGCAATTGAGCTTCTGTTGCATCAGGAGTTAAATGATTAACTCCATACCTCTATCTAATTAGCGTTGCAACACCTAGCGGTGGTAGCAAGGTCTTTGAGCTGCAAAGCGGTTGTAACCCTATTATGCTTCACCTAAGAATTGCAATGATATGACCGAGGTGGATTATGGTGGAGGGGGCACCGCACGCGGCTAAACAATGACAACTTGTGTGTCTATGGGGTGCCCCCTCCCCCGTATATAAAGGAGTGGAGGAGGGGGAGGGGTCGGCCCTCTATGGCGCGCCCAAGGGAGTCCTACTCCCATCGGGAGTAGGATTCCCCCCTTCCCTAGTTGGATTAGGAGAGGAAGGAAGGGGGAGAGAGGGGGAAGGAAAGGGGGGGCCCGGCCCCCAACCCAATTCAGATTGGGCTTGGGGGGTGCCCCCTCCTAGGCTCCCTTCTCCTCTCTCCCACTATGGCCCAATAAGGCCCATATACTTCCCGGGGGGTTCCGGTAACCTCCTGATACTCCGGTATATGCCCGAACTCACCCGGAACCATTCCGATGTCCAAACATAGTCATCCAATATATCGATCTTTATGTCTGACCATTTCGAGACTCCTCGTCATGTCCGTGATCATATCCAGGACCCCGAACAACCTTCGGTACATCAAAACACATAAACTCATAATACCGATCGTCACCGAACGTTAAGCGTGTGGACCCTACGGGTTCGAGAACTATGTAGAAATGACCGAGACTCATCTCCGGTCAATAACCAATAGCATAACATGGATGCTCATATTGGTTCCTACATATTCTATGAAGATCTTTATCGGTCAAACCGCACAATAACATATATTGTTCCCTTTGTCATCGGTATGTTACTTGCTCGAGATTCGATCGTCGGTATCATCATACCTAGTTCAATCTCGTTACCGGAAAGTCTCTTTACTCGTTCCGTAATGCATCATCCCGCAACTAACTCATTAGTCACATTGCTTGCAAGGCTTATAGTGATGTGCATTACCGAGAGGGCCTAGAGATACCTCTCCGATAATCGGAGTGACAAATCCTAATCTCGATCTATGCCAACTCAACAAATACCATCGGAGACGCCTGTAGAGCATCTTTATAATCACCCAATTACGTTGTGACATTTGATAGCACACTAAGTGTTCCTCTGGTATTCGGGAGTTGCATAATCTCATAGTCATAGGAACATGTAAAAGTCATGAAGAAAGCAATAGCAATAAACTAAACGATCATAGTGCTAAGCTAACGGATGGGTCTTGTACATCACATCATTCTCTAATGATGTAATCCCGTTCATCAAATGACAACACATGTCTATGGCTAGGAAACTTAACCATCTTTGATTAACGAGCTAGTCAAGTAGAGGCATACTAGGGACACTTTGTTTGTCTATGTATTCACACATGTACTAAGTTTTCGGTTAATACAATTCTAGCACGAATAATAAACATTTATCATGATATAAGGAAATATAAATAACAACTTTATTATTGCCTCTAGGACATATTTCCTTCAGTCTCCCACTTGCACTAGAGTCAATAATCTAGTTCACATCGTCATGTGATTTCACACCAATAGTTCACATCTTTATGTGATTAGTTCACATCTTCATGTGACTAATACCCAAAGGGTTTACTAGAGTCAATAATCTAGTTCACATCGCTATGTGATTAACACCCAAAGAGTGACCATGTTTTTCTTATGAGAGAAGTTTAGTCTATGGGTCTGCAACATTCAGATCCGTATGTATTTCACAAATTTCTATGTCTACAATACTCTGCATGGAGCTACTCTAGCTAATTGCTCCCACTTTCAATATGTATCTAGATCGAGACTTAGAGTCATCTAGATCGGTGTAAAAATCTTGCATCGACGTTACTCTTTACGACGAACTCTTTTATCACCTCCATAACCGAGAAATATTTCCTTAGTACTCTAAGAATAATTTTGACCGTTGTCCAGTGATCTACTACTAGATCACTATTGTATTCTCTTGCCAAAATCATGCTAAGGTATACAATAGGACTGGTACACAGCATAGCATACTTTATAGAACCTATGACTGAGGCATAGGGAATGAATTTTCATTCTCTTTCCATTTTCTGTCGTGGTCGGGTTTTTTTTGAGTCTTTACTCAACTTCACACCTTGCAACACAGGCAAGAACTCCTTCTTTGACTGTTCCATTTTGAACTACTTCAAAATCTTGTCAAGGTATGAACTTGTTGAAAAATCTTATCAAGTGTCTTGATATATCTCTATAGATCTTGATGCTCAATGTGTAAGTAGATTCACCGAGGTCTTTCTTTGAAAAACTCCTTTCAAACACTCCTTTATGCGTTCCAGAAAATTCTACATCATTTCCGATCAACAACATGTCACTCACATATAATTATCAGAAAGGCTGTAGTGCTCCCACTCACTTTCTTGCAAATACATGCTTTACCGCAAGTCTGTATAAAACTATATTCTCTGATCACACTATCAAAGCGCATATTCCAACTCCGAGAGGCTTGCACCAGTCCATAAGTGGATCGCTGGAGCTTGCACGCTTTATTAGTACCTTTAGGATTGACAAAACCTTCTAGTTGCATCATATACAACTCTTCTTTAATAAATGCATTAAGGAATGTAGTTTTGATATTCATTTGCCAGATTTCAGAAAATGCGGCAACTGCTAACATGATTCGGACAGACTTTTAAGCATCGATACGAGTGAGAAAATCTCATCGTAGTCAACACCTTCACTTGTCGAAAACCTTTTGCGACAATTCGAGTTTTGTAGATAGTAACACTACCATCAACGTCCGTCTTCCTCTTGAAGATCAATTTATTCTGAATGACTCATCGATCAACGGGCAAGTCAATCAAAGTCCATACTTTGTTCTCATACATGGATCCCATCTCAGATTTCATGGCCTTAAACCATTTCGCGGAACCTAGGCTCATCATCGCTTTCTCATAGTTCGTAGGTTTCTCATGGTCTAGTAACATGACTTCCAGAACAGAATTACCGTACCACTGTGGTGCGGAACGTACTCTGGTTGACCTACGAGGTTCGGTAGTAACTTGATCTGAAGTTTCATGATCATCATCATTAACTTCCTCACTAATTGGTGTAGGCATCACTGTAACTGATTTCTGTGATGAACTACTTTCCAATTCGGGAGAAGGTACAATTACTTCATCAAGTTCTACTTTCCTTTCACTCACTTCTTTCGAGAGAAAACTCCTTCTTTAGAAAGGATCCACTCTTAGCAACAAAGATCTTGCCTTCGGATCTGTGATAGAAGATGTAACCAAGAGTTTCTTTTGGGTATCCTATGAAGACGCACTTCTTGGATTGGGGTTTGAGCTTATCAGGTTGAAACTTTTTCACATAAGCATCACAACCCCAAACTTTAAGAAACGACAGCTTATGTTTCTTGCTAAACCGCAGTTCATATGATGTCGTCTCAACGGATTTAGATGATGCCCTATTTAATGTGAATGCAGTTGTCTTTAATGCATAACCCCAAAATGATAGTGGTAATTCGGTAAGAGACATCATAAATTGCACCATATCTAATAAAGTACGGTTATGACGTTCTGACACACCATTACATTATGGTGTTTCAGGTGGCATGAGTTGAGAAACTATTCCGCATTGCTTCAAATGAAGACCAAACTCGTAACTCAAATATTTATTTCCGTGATCATATCGTAGAAACTTTATTTTCTTGTTACGATGATTTCCACTTCACTCTGAAATTCTTTGAACTTTTTAAATATTTCAGACTTATATTTCATCAAGTAGATATACCTATATCTGCTCAAATCATCTGTGAATGTCAGAAAATAACGATACCCGCCGCGAGCCTCAACACTCATTGGACCGCACACTTCATACTTAATTGAGATCGATGCTATGTGTCAACATGGTGTTGTGCTGACCCGAGTTTTCTATGGATGTTGAGGCTTCATAGTCTTCTGGTAGCTCTTTGTATTTTGTTATCCATTTGGCTAGGTAAGTAATATTGTCCATGCGTATGCAGACTATGAATCAATAGAAGCTAGCCTTGTGAGTGAACATGGACAATAAGCAAAGTGAACATGTTTACGCAGACTCTGGTGTATCATGTCTTTACGACTTACATGTTCCCAATTTATCATGGAGCATGCTATTAACATAACTGAATTTTCCATTGCATATATGCTTATATCCAGTTTACAGTTTATTGCTTTCAATTGTTTATCAAATGTTTGTGCCATCTATATTTTCTCTAATCCTTCTATCATTCATTTGTGAGAATAGACTAGCTCGACAATGTGTGAGTTCCTTCCAAAAACAAAACCAGAGTTGTCAGATCTCCCATTAGTTTTTTTGTTATTAATTTTTGCTAATAATTCAATTTGAAGAGCATGATGATTTGCATGCATTTTTCTCTTTAGTTGTTGCAAGGTATCAATGAGGTTCCACATCAAATGCATTTTCCCCTTGAGTTGTTGCAAGAGAACGACTATTTTGCTAATATTTCAATTTGAAGAGCATGGCTATACATCTGTTTGAGCGTCGACAGAGGGAGTCTTGGTGAGTTTTCACATCAAAGTTGCAGACGCATCACATAATGTGCTATTGTTGTTTCCCATCCATATTTCATAACATGATATGTTTATTTCTTTATTATATACTCCCTCTGTCCCATAATATAAGAACGTTTTTGACATTAATGTAGTTTCAAAAACGTTCTTATATTATGGGACGGAAGGAGTATTTGTGTTGCAATTCTGCAAATATACTAAAATGATACAATGTCTATATATCAGAACCTTGCAAGTCAGAAAAAAGATGCAATTATGGCGCTATAATTCTCACATTTGTTTGTCAGCTGTTTTTTCCTTATTTTGCTCGTACTTTGCTACTCAAAGGTTTGGTGAGCATGC